GAAAAGTTTCCACAAACTAGAAGGGGTTTTACATGACAAGAATCTTTGGTTATATAAAACATTTAGTCTTTGCATTTCGAATTTCATCAGAGTATTTAACTTTTTTACACCTGATTTATCATTTGTTCTGTAAATAAGTCCCAGTTAGTGTCTTTCAACATGCATCTGAGCTTCCGTAAGTTGTCTTGGGAGTACCATCTCCGTTGAAATTTACTGTATAGGTGAGAGAAGACATATTTATATGATTTGGAATGTACTTTTGGCAATACATGTATGATGCAGTGGTCGGAGTTAAGTAAAGGAGCACGTTTGCGAGCTTCATATATACCAACATCATTAATGAATACTAGATCCAGTGTTTTACCAAGACGAGTAGCAAAGTTAACAATATTGTCATGACCAAGTGATATAAGGAAGGAGCAGTCACAAGAATTAAAGTCACCAGTCACTATTGATCAAGAGTTCTCGAAGCCAGCTGCAGCAAAAGCAGTGAATTCATCTGCGAACATAGATAGATCTGATATGGTACAACCAGGGGAGACATAAACATTTGAAATATAAATGAATTTGTACTTTGACAAGTGTTTCGGGCGACATCTCACAGTGATGCAATCCATGTAGTCATTCGAGAATTTGAAGCAAACTTTATTAGAAATGAACCATTTTGAGTGAATACAAATTGCAACACCTCCGCCACATTTTTTCTTGGAACGAACATTGTCTTCTTGGAATACATTGAAATCATAGAGCCAGGTTTCTTGCAGAGTCACAATACCAGTATTGTGATAAATTTCGGGCGACAAAAGGGACTGAAAATCCAGAATTTTGTTAGGCAGGGACCGGCAGTTAGTACTAATGACAACCGGAACAGTGGTGAGATGTATGGGTGTAGATTTTAAAGCACGTTGCCAACCACCGTGGTGCTTTTTCTTGGGTTCATTAGAAATATGAAAGTTTTTGGGTTTTAAATATTTTATATAATCCCGGGAGTGAATGATACAATGAAAATCCATAATTTGATAAATAAACACCAACAAAATATGAGTAAATAAATGCAAAATGTACATGGAATATGGTAGCCTAAAATATTCAAACAGGCCTCCAAGGTTTGTAATGGTCTGTGAATATTTAACATTCTGATAAAACTGAATATGAAAAGATTAAATGTTTTATATAATCAAAGATTTTTGTCATGTAAAACCCCTTCTAATTTATGGAAACTTTTCAAAGAAATCACTAGCGGTAAGTGAAGTACTTCTCTTCTACCTCTTAATGTTGACACTCTAAATAAATCTTTCATACACTCTTCTGTCGATATCCTTCCAAATGATACAAATCATATTGACAATAACTTTAGTAGTTTTAATACCCTTGATGTGCTTAAATGTCTCCGGTCTCTTAAGCCTTCTCAAAGTCTTGGTCCTGACGGCATACCTGCCATTGTCCTCAGGAACTGTTCTGATATTTTATGTTACCCTCTTACTAACATTTTTAATGCTTCTTTTTCCGGTAATGTTCTACCTTTTGCATGGAAAAACATTAAAATTATCCCTATACCAAAACCATCTTCTGGTTCTGATATTAAATTTCGGTCTATTGCAATTACTTCTCCCTTTTTAAAATTGATGGAAAAATTACTTTTACTTCGTCTCGAACCTCCATTGAAACCTTTTAATGATCCTAAACAATTTGCATATAAACATGGTAGATGTACCTTGGATGCTGCGGTTGTCTTATATCACAATGTTGTCTCTTCTTTAGACAAAGGTGCTAAATATGTTCGTAGTGCTTTCTTAGACTACACATCTGCTTTTGACTCTGTACCTAGGGGCCTTTTGCTAAATAAGCTATCGTTGACACAAACAGGATCCTGGGCAAAGAGTTGGTTGCATTCCTATTTTTCTGATAGAATGCAGTATACTGTATATAATGGCACATCTTCCTTTGCTTCGCTTACAAAATCCGGTGTTCTACAAGGTGCTGTCCTCTCTCCTTTTCTTTTTTCTTTCTTCCTACATGACCTGCCTCATTCAAACGAAACTAACTTTGTCAAATATGCAGATGATCTGACTGTATCACTGCCTATCACTTCTGAGTCTGACAGCTGCAAACTTAATAGCTTTCTGTTGGACATCAACAACTGGTCCAAGTCAAATGGTCTTATATTAAATCCTTCCAAATGTCAGGCACTTGACTTTACTTTCAAGCATCGACGTGACATACATGAACTAGTTAGTTCCCATGATCCCTGTAGCATAGATGGCGCTGAAATTGAGACCAGGTCAAGCATTAAATACCTTGGATTAGTTCTTTCCTCTGACCTTTCATGGTCATCCCACATCTTATCAATCTCTAAGAAAATGTTTCGTCTTACCTTCTACATTAAAAAGTTAAGACAATCAGGTATCAACCAACCTTTAGTTTTGCAATTTTTAAACTCCTGTATTTTACCTGTTGTACTCTATTGCTCTCCATTAATCTTTCCTGGGCTTCTCAAAAAAGATTATATCATATTACGAAGAGTATTAAATGCTGTGAGTAGAGCTTGTGGTCTGCCACTGCATGAGCTCGCTAATACTATAAATACTATATAAATTCCTGTACGAAATGGGCAAAGGCTATACTTTCAGACCCTCTGCACCCCCTTTATTCACACCTGTCCCCTTGCATCTCATCAGGTGGGACGAGAAGTCAATATAAGAAGTTATATGCTCGAACCACTAAGTACAAAAATTCTACAATACCCTATTTAGCCCGTATTTTACGTGATGGAGACACTGTTAGACGTGAAACATATAAGTTACTATGTAATTAGCAAAGTGAATCGACCCTTTCATCAGTCATCTTTCTGTAATTTTTTGGTGTCACCCTTTCTATCGTTTGATTATAACTTAGCTATTTTATTTAAGTTGTTATCACTATTATTACTACAATTTTATACTTTATGCATATTTTTCTCCTTATCGCACATACTGTAATTGCTACATAGCTGGTATAACAACGTTTTGTTATTATTATTATTATTATGTAATGTTTATTTTTTGGCGTTTTGAGTAAATAAGATGCAATATTTTACTGAATGCTGAAAATTCCTTGCTGTATCATTAGTACTGTTTTTGGAATAAAACAAAAAGTATTATTATTGCCCTGGGAGTCGCTGAATTTATCTGGCTGACATTATACTGACGATGTCATTATTGTTATTTAATATTATATCCTTTTATGCCTAAAATAACATAGGGCTTGAGCTGCACGTCTCAGTTGATTTCAGTTTTCTGTCAACATTTTCACCCCGCTCCAAATCTGCCCACATGCTTTTATCTCCTATCCACGTAAGCTCCTCAACGTCACCCTTGGACGACCAACTCGCTACTTCCCTTTCGGGTTCCAGTCTAGTGATGGCTTGTCTAGTGATGTCACTTGATGGTTTCCTCAGCGTATGGCCAATCCATTTGTATTTCTTCCTGCCTATTTGTTTCATAATCGGTGCGTGTTTGATTCGCTCCGAGAGATCTCTGTTGCTGATCTTTTGTGGCCATCAGACCTTGAGTATTGAGCGAAGACAAGTGTTAATGAAGGTCTGAAGTTTGTTTGAGATGCTCTTTATGACGCGCCAAGTCTCTGATCGGTATAGTATTACTGAGTGACTTCACATTGGAGTTGAAAATCGAGAGCTTATTTTTGATGGTGTGTGCTGTTGAGCTCTACACAGACTTGAGAGTAATGAAAGCTTGTCTTGCTCTTCCGATTCTGGCTTTGATATCCTCGTTAGTTCCGCCCGCCTGTAGTTGAAAGTATGCTTCCCGGGTAGGCGAAGGAGGTTGTTTCTTTCAGGTTGCTCCCATTAATACTGGCTGATTGTTGTTTGTTGTTGTTGGTGGTGTTGGTGTTGGCCAGGAATCTTCATCACCTCTGTTTTATCTATGTTTACCCGAAGTCCTATTTTCTCTGGATACTTCTCCTGCCAACTTGTTGCTTTTCACTTGCATATCCTCCAGTGTTTTTGGGAAATCAGACATATATCGTCGGCAAAGTCCAGGATTTTTGTGTGAGTTCATTTTATGCCTGTTTCCTCATTTTCCGTTGTCTGTCGCATTATCCAATCTACTGCAATGAGGAAGATCATTGGACGATGTCATGGTCATATTCAAATAACTTTTTTTATTCTACACCTTGAAGGAATGAATTGTCATCTGTCAACTTTTATAACTGGTTTGTTTGAATTTCCGAATAACGTCTATAATTTGGATGTGATCTAAGACGATCAAATCAACTAACACATCTTTGTCTTTTATAATTTGATGATACAGATCAGAGACGAATGTAATCGAATTTAGTTGATACACCACTATGAATGTCGATTTCTGTGACTATTCGTTGTACACTGTGCGGAACCCTGTCTTAGAGGATGTCAGTTGTAATCGATTCGCTCACGACTTGTCGTCCATTCGATTCACATAAATCAGAATGTCTCCTACGCCTCTCTGACAGTTAGCACCTTCCAATACCAATAATGTAGAAACATGTTTATACTGTCATAAACGATAATAGCAGATAATTATTCATTAATTTTGTGTTCAGGGGTTACTATCTGTCCTTCACAAAGAGAGGATTGCAAACACGACTGACAAGAGTTTCAGCAAGAACTGACCACTGTATAAGTCAGTCACGAAGCATACTTCACTCAAATCGAATCCTATTATCATGTGGTTAGCTTGTAATAAAAGCATTACCTTTATTTCTATCGTTCTGTTGTGTTTTCTATTCATTTTTATTTACGAAGCCACATTTAAAATCCTACAGTTCTACGATAGAGAAGACAGCCTCTGTGTTTCTCTGATTTATATCTGTTTTTCAAATAATTTAGGATTTCAGCTCGTTAATTACACACGTTTTACATAGACATTTAATCATATTGAGCTGTTAGACGTTTAAAATGCCTTTGATACCTCTTTCCTTTATTTAATATTCAATTTTGTCAATAAAACACAACAATTTAGGGTTGTTGTTGTATTGATGAATTCGATAAATTAACATGTGATCCAGCTGTACTACTTGAAGCTATGGAACAGCAATCAGTTAGCGTGGCACGTGGTGGACTGGTGGCGAATTTGCCAGCTCGTGCAGCTGTTCTAGCTGCCGCTAATCCTGTCAGTGGGCATTATGATATTACACGAAGATTAGATGAAAATCTACGTATACCACCAGCTTTACTATCAAGGTATAAATTATCCAGTATTATTGTATGCTCTTATTATATTTTATTGCATTTTCATGTAAAACTTGGTCTCCGTAGCAATATGTAATTCTGTACTAATTTAAAAATACTATTCACTGGATGACGTTTCGAAGACAGCTTATTGTTCATAATCATACCATCAAGTGTAACCATAGAACTGCTTAACTTGATTTTTATAGTTCTCTTTCTCCTTTCAATTCATCTTCAAGGACCCAAATTTTTCAGATGTTCAAGACCGCTGTTGGATAATTTCTATTATACGGAAGCTCTGCTTTTTGACTTTCCAATTCATAAGTGATTTAAATTGGCTCTACCTTTGATTTGGTTTCCCAAAAGCTTATATAATATTGTAAATGTGTTAACCACATACCTCCACTCTTTTGCGAAAAGAACACAAACGAATTACTGACTATTAGGCGTTATAATCTGTAAATTTGTAATATGGAGGTTAATACTTAAGAATTCATAGTGAACTCAACTATACTATTTCAATTAGTACTTGAGTAGGTCTTACAGTCAAACTCATATCTAAGCCTGCAAAGCGAGAAATAAATCCGATATCGCATATAACAAACGAATGCACAGTTTTCATGTAAGATTGTGTATAAAAAGTTGTATTTTTTAAAATCTCAGCAACCTTCGATTAAGGAATTTCAATCCTGAGTTTGTCAAATAAGAAAAATAAGTAAATAGCTTAACGATTAGTCAGTACCTCGCACTTATTACGTCATGTCAACTTCTGCTCCCTTTTCTAACTTCCACTTGGAGTCAACCGGTCCAGACTATATCTTACATTAGGTAATGCATCTTTCGAGGACAAAGTTTACCAGTATCTGATTGTTTGTTTAATGATTTCTTTGTTAAATATAATTACGATTATTGTACAGCTCATGAAAATGCATCGTCGTTAAGAGAAAATTTCCTTCGCTGTTTACGTCTTTTTCTCATGAATAATTATGAGAATAATATTTCGTTGATTTGTGAAATAAGTGTAGAATTTATCGGGGAAATGATGAAATTTAAATGTTTTCTATAGTTGCATAGTTTCCGTTTGGCGCTGAATTTTCTTGGGACTACTAGAATAAATATTAATCAATGTTTTTAAAAAATTGAGTTCTTCATTATAAATGTCGTGAGCTTTGTGCGAGATAGGAGTTTTTTCAAGTGTAGTGGACCCGTTTAATGATTCGTTAGTGTTATGCGGTACTTTGATTCTTCTTTCTTTCACGTTCCCAGTGGAACATGGGGCCTCAAGCTAGTGGCTTAAAGTTTCTGTAGCAGTGTTTAATTTTACAGGATGTGGTTGCTAGCCTCATGCCCAACCATTCCTCTTTACCAGCTTTTTTATTTCTGGCTTAACGAGGTAAAGGAGTGCTTCGGTGGCCGGGGATCGAACCCCAGACCATGTGCATGGTCGGCGAGCGTCCTAACCGCTGTGTCACCGACGCACTTTAATTGAACACTAGTAACTAGTAGGACGTGTCTAGTCCTTTGTTTGGTGCAGACTGAATTCTATTAGTCAGGTTTTGCAATGTAGCCACCATTCTAGATAACTCACCATCACGGTGCGCATTGATTTGATGATATTAGATAGTTGGAGGGAATCGGCCACAGGAAGCCTTAGACCTAAGTTTCGTGCTAGTTGACACTCACCAGTCAGTAAGGAGTATCTGCAACCTTGAAGGAACTCATGTCCCTGCTTCTGAGATTCGAACCCGCGTCACCCAGTGCTGCAGTCAGCGACGTTACCACTGACTGAGCTGTTCGGACTCGCGATTGACCTGTAGGACTGTAGTGCCGATTGCCTCCAACTATCTAAACACGGTACCTAAACAGTATATATTAAAGTTGTTAAGAATAACAAAATATGAGGGTATACAGTTGCTCAAGTGTATGGCTTAATCTACATGTCACAAATTTTTTTTATTGTAGTCTATAGCTCCACTCATTGTGCATTTCAATGACTTTTCTCAACCAAAAATTTGCCAATCTTGTGTCTAGTTTTTCTTTGGTACAAGAATATGAATTAATTTTTATTCAAATGTCTAATCATCAATTTTACTCGTGTGAGTATTGCTTTAATATGATTATGAGCAGTGATAATTTGTGCTCAAAACGTGACCATCAGTCAGTATTGCTGTACAACACTGTGTGATTTATCAAAATAATATCTTATTCACAATGGAGAATGTGAATTTCTTGTAAATTTCGAAGAGATACAACGAATTGAAATGGTAGCAGTTAAGGCAGCTACAAGGAAAGAAAGAAAACACGATATGATAAACAAAAGTGTCTTTCAAACAAGGAATAAACAACACAGTGGTTTGTTAGGAAGGTGTGTCATTTTTAACTTTTAGGAATAAATTATACCAAATCATAAATAGCCGGCCTCTACCAATAGCCGATTTTCATCACGAATCAACCTAACCTAACTAAAGAACCATTGGACAGTATACAACGCAAGAGAGAGATAGTTCCTCCTAATTCTCAAGATAGTAAGGTTAGCTTCCCCGCGGAACATACAAGTTACCTCATATATTTACGTATATTTTGCAAATACTACCATTATTATTCTGATTATTGTTCTGGTTGCAGTTTAATTAGTTCTAAACGGAACAATAATTAAGTAGTACAGCTTAGGTATTCCATTTTCATTGTACTATTTGATATTCTTAGCTGAAGATAGAGTGAGTATGCTTTGAAATCTGACTAGTGACTGGGTAGTTAGTTAGTGTCGATTCATAACTGTAAGTTTTCAGTTCTAATTATGGTATTACTATAAGTATTTCATTAGAATTGTTCGATTTCATCATTTATCCAACATCAGTTAGAGAGATCATCGAAAAACTGGGGAGTACCGGAAAGCTGTTTCGTCCTTGCTTGGAATCCTGCCACCACGTCAAGGTTAAGTGGATGCTTATCGATTGGAACATTGGTTGACAGTAGAACTATATCATAAATGGACAAAGTTAGAATTCATAGACTGTAGACTTTCATCCCAAGTTGCTGAATAATGAATCAACTTGGTCTCGTAATCTGAAGCTCCTGTGTTGGGTCACTGGTAGGATCTCGTGGGTGCACACTGTTGAAGAGTTTCAGACCAGAACAAACACAGCTACCCAGTGCTCCCTGGTTTTCAGTGATCTTTCTAGCTGATGTTGGTTCTCGACGAAATCTAGCAATTGCAATTAATCCAATTCCCATAACTACATGGCGTAGTGTTCTTACTTTTTCTTTCTTTCCCCAAACAAACTTCAGATTTGATTTAATCTTTGTGCTATTGGATCATCCAGATGAAGTTGCTGATCGTTTATTATCAGAGCATGTTACAGCAGTTCATACAGGAAATTGGAAACCTTCTAGTTTTGTTTGTTCCCAAACTAATCGACAAATCAACGAGACATTTAGTCATGATGATATAAATACCAACAGTCATAATAATAATAATAACAATCATAGTGTTGTTGTAAAAGAATTCGATCCAAGTATACCATTAGCTCAAAGATTAGAGTTGCTTGTTGGCGAAAAGATTGATTATATTCCTGCAGTATTATTACGGAAATATATTATGTATTCTAGAAAATATGTAATGCCATGGTATGTGCATATTCTTTGATGTTTATATGATGTTGTATTTGTTGCCTTAACCTCATCCAGTTTAATAGTTCACATTCCACTACTCCAGGCCATAGAGTGAAACTCGAATGGGAAGCGACGAGTTAAACGTCTGAAGGAGGAGGTTTTGTGAAGAGGCGATGAAAGCATATATACACTTGTGGAGTCAACTAAAAAGGACTGTAAAGAAGAAAATTAGATGGTGATGTCCTGCTGACATACTATTCTCCAATCGGGACCAAAGGGAATAGCAATAACAACATATGCTGATTTGCAAAACTAAAGTTGATTAGTATCCATTGATATTTGAATTCCTTGTATGACCAAACATCTTTGTGGTTCCCTTGAGGAGACATCCAACTTACTTCTGATCATTGGAATGCATATGTGACACTCTGATGCTGAGAACCAATGGCTGAAGACTGTTGGTGATACGGCTAAAAATCGGTTTTAGCGTCTCATATGCTTTCACACTTAGTAATCTTCTATAGTTAGTTTGTAAGGATTAGTTTTGTTTTTACGAGTTGATCACGGATTGATATCAGTTAGAGGAACACTGAAATCCAGGGAGTACTAAACAGGTGTTTCATCCTAGTTTTTGGGAATCATCGGTGGTACGCACCCACTAGGGTTCGAACCCAGGAACTCCCGGTAGAATTCATGGGCCGTTGGATCGGGTCCCAGTGGATGAATATTGTATAAGCTTGCTTTGTTACTGGAAGGTTCTGGGTTCGAACCCCAGTGAGTGCGTACTACCGATGATTCCCAAAACTAGGATGAAACAGCTGTCCAGTGCTTCAGTGCTGGTTTTCAATGGTTGTCTAACTGATATCAATCCGTGGTCAACCCGTAAAAACGTATTTATCTCCTCAATCTATTAAACCCTCATATTTCTTCGTGTCACTATTGTACCTGTTCATTACACTTCTTTGAATGTAACTTGAACTAGTGCACACCTGTGCAAAGTTCTCTGTTGAAAGTCAGTCAGAATAAAATTCCAGATGCCACAACACGATACCCACTTGGTCAACTCAGTAATATTAGTCACCCTGTCATATTTAGTTTATTTAGTTGGTGTAACATACATCGACTTAGTATCTGCTATAAGCTACACTACCTATTACATGTAATGATATATTTCTATGCAACTAAAGACAGAAATTACAAAAGTAAATATGCCCCTAGTTCCTCTTGTGAGCTGTATCTCTTAACGACTGACGTTTATATGAGGTGTCATTTATTGAAATTCATCCAAAGAGTTACAATTCAACAAGTATGTGACGCAATAAAACTAATGTTAGTATTATAATGTCCTTATAGATCGGTCACCTGTACATGGTTTTTAGTTGGCTCTAGTCTAGGCCGGCAGTGATGAATTACTGATGTTGGTTTCCACACGTAATATTCTCACACTGAAGTGAATGCTTTTTATATCGACCATACGTATGGCTTCCTATCGGCTATCTTCAGCCATTCAGTGACAGCATAAAGTTCATCGCAACGACACGTCTCTTAGTCAGGTGAACATATTGTTAAAGTTTGACTGCATGAATTCACTCCGTACAAATGACGAGAAAACAAGACTTTGGTTACTTCCGTGTGGTTAGTCAGTGTTTTGAAATAACCGTTTTCGTGAATAATCCCCATATCCAGGCATTGATGAAACAAGACAAGTAGTTCAGCGAAGAGGGCTCCTTTCGACGAATTCATTTTCTGTAGCTATTTAGTCGCATTTCTATAGAATTTATTTTTCACAAAAGAGGATAGTAACGAAAGTGACGAGTTGTCACAATCACAGTTTCTAATATTAATCAATACATAAGAGATTCAAATAAGTGTTAGAGTTGCATAATCAGATAAATAATTTAGTGAATGATTTGTAATCAAGAAAGACAGAAACAAAGGCGAATGTAATATTATTTAAGAACTCGAAAGAAATATAGAAGACATGTGGAGTTAGAAAACAAATATCAAGTTGGTAAAAAACAACGGGGTCGTCACCATGATGGTAGAATTCGTTGAATGATTTCTTTTGCCAGGTTGTTCTTCGCTTTGTGAATTAATTTGAAGGACGCGTTTGTTGACACAAGGTGTTCAATTCCCATACCCTTCTCCAACCTTGTGGGATGGTGTACTTGAACCCTTTTAGACCGGGTACACGTCGAACGACCAATATACCTCGCTCCACTGGAACTGGTAAATCGATATATGCACATAGAAGTGATCAGGTGTGACAGGTTGTCTTTCAGGTTTCTGCTAATCCGTGACCGACTATAGAACACTAGTCTTAGCGTGGCTGCGAAGAATATTCTTCACAAAGATGTTGAAATTATTCTTTTTAGGGTAGGAGATGAAATCCAGGTTCATGTCATGTTTCCTTTTTGCTATAAACGGAGTTTATTTCCTCTGAACTTTTAGTATGATGTTACTGTCAATGAATCTTGGTGAGTATCTATTTTACGGATTTAGCTAAATTTCGTCTTGGTATACTAGTTTTAAACGTAAACCAAACAATTGTTTTCAACAACTGAGATAAAAAACTTCTTGTTAACTTCTAAAAAATATCCATTACGTAATTACTGAGATCATCAATCCTTTTTGTTTTTAAATATTCTCCTTAGTCTTTCAACAGAAGCTGCTGTGACTCTACGGGATTTTTATTTAGAATTACGTAAACATCGTCATAGTCGTGATACATTTCCAGTGACATTACGACAGCTAGAATCATTAATTCGATTAACACAAGCAAGAGCTAGAGCTGAATTACGTGAAGAAGCAACTAAACAGGTAATGATTTTTTGTTGTTGTTGAAAAGATGCCTGTTTATCATAATCTTCCCGTCGAGTACGGTATGCTATCAGTCTCATCACGAAGCTGATCTGAACTGTTGTTTGGTGGTTTTGCTGATTAAGTGTCCTAGAAGCCTATAGATGAAAGACCATATACATAACTGAATAACAGACTTAATTGAAAAGTTGTGTAGTAACTAAGTAATTTGCCGTTAACGTTTAAAAAAACAACTAAAATATAGTCAACATTGTCTCATATTTCTATGAAATTACAGTTGTGTTTTAAGATAGGGAGTGAAGTGGTTGAGCGTGTTGACCACATCACTTATTGGGGAACTTGCACCTGCCCCAATGAAATGTAAGTACGGATATGAAAGGCTCATGTGGCTTTTGCCAACTTACTTCACCTTTGACTTAGATATGATATGCACCTATTGACTGAAGACTGTATGTACTCTACATCAGTTCTTTCTGTTCTCTTTTGTGACTGTGAGGCATAGTCATTGAAAGTGGGAGATTTTAAAAGATTATCTATCTTTAACTACCGATGTTCGCGTTCTTCTCTCGCGTTAACTGGCGTAAATTGATGGGCAATATTGAGTCAAGGCATAGAGTATTAGGTAAGGAAAGTAAATCAATTGATAAGGTTGTGAAAGTACATCAAGTGATGAAATGTCTAGGACACGTGTCGCACATGCCAAATTATCACCTTCTCTGACCGGCAGCTGTTAGCGACATAAGTATAAGTTGGGCTTGCATCAACCTGTGAAGTTTTTGACAGTTTGTTTGAGCCATTTAAGGAGATGTAGGCTGTCTGATTGGGGTTGGATTAAAATTATTCTGAATTGTGGGGATGCATTCACTCTGTGTAATCTCTGTCCACTAAACTGTCATGTTTTCCTATGTTACTATTCTTTTCCTCTCACATTCCCGTTGAAATTCAGTGAGAACAGTTCTGCTTGAAGTGTCCACTTCAGTTGACAATATTTAAGCCAGACCATTTGCTGACATATGAGTCACCGTCGTCAATGAAATGTGAAAGGTATACCCTTTATTTCCAGACAAATATGTTCACTGCCCATTAGATTCTAAAGGAAGTTATGCTTTTCACGAAAGTTATAGTTGATTTGATTGATTAAAATGAGTAGTTATATGCCACCAACATCAACCAATAATAGTACTTCCTAGCTAGATCGAAGTGATCTAAACATCCGACGGCCGTTTCACTTGTCTAGAGTCGAGCTCACTATCGGTGTGTGTACGTGAATTGACTCAGTTCAGATAGTGGGATCAGTTCCAAACTCCCGAACTCTGGTAAGCTACTTAGGCGAACTGGTAATACGTTGAATCAAATCTACGATTTTCTGTTTAAACAGTTCAAGTTTGACTAGACACTAGCTAGTAACTAGTGTAATGTGTCTAATTTCTTGTTTGGTGCAGACTGAATTCTGTCATGTTAGATGACTCACTATATCGATTCATTGCACTGTGAATTGTTTATATTATATGGTTGGGAGGCAATCAGCAAAAAGCGTTGGGCCTAGGTTCAAGGTAAGAAGTTACTAAAGTTTCCTTTGGAAAATGAATTTTTCAGATCACGTATTGTGATCTGTTCATATCAATAAACCAGTAGCTTATAGCATCATGCTATTATGATTCCTTCCTCTAATTACTACTTATAGTGCGAAGCAGATCATTCACATTGGGATCTGAATATTTTCAGTTACTGAATGAAACTTGTGATTTCTCACCTCTAACTTTGTAAATTTTAAATCACGAATCTAATTCAAATCTGCCTGTGTTCCTTTCAGGCTTTAAATTTGCTTAACTTAATGTCAAAGTTAGCATGTGCAGCTCATTCGTGTACATCATTGGTTCTTACATTCTTTTTCTAATTTGATATAAACTTGATACCCTGTGGGGCGCCAAGAGATGCATTACAAAGTGCCTGTATAGGGTTAATCGTAACGTGGATAGATGGAGTGGAAAAGTCTCTAACTTCATTATTTTGTTAGGCCCCGGCCGATAACTGCTACCTTGTCGTGGTGGTCGGGCTTGAAAACCGTAATGACCCAACATGCTAAACTGACCGGGACTCTGTCCCTGCAGGTCCTACCATGTAAGGAAGGTTGTTTGGATAGCGGTTAAACTAAAAGCAGTTACCATGGGGTACATGGGCTCCAGTATCCAATCAGATCAAATGGCGTATGAACCCATATGGGTCACCGGAAACCATGGGAATGCAGCTCCTGACGCTGCTCCGCTGCCTAGCGGATTCGACTCCAAGTCAAAGGCTCGGGGGTGGTCCCTTAATAAAACCACCTGCTTCTGTCTGGGCGCCCAGGCAGTATCTCAGCCCTCATACAATGAACTGAATGAAGCAACAAACAATCAATGAAACTTATCGCGTGATATTACACGTGTTGCAATTTCCTTCTTTCTTCCCCTCTCGATGATAGTTAAGGAATACTGTTTGAACTTGTTAAGCATGACTGTTTTCCTTCCAGATGAAGTTCTTTATCCGTTCTCTACTTATATAAATATTTTTTTCTCTTCTTTTTTCTTTTGATCTATGTTGTTTTATTATTATTGTGTGGCGCATCCTTCTTGGTGCCATATTGTACCAAGTTTTTATGCGCTTAAATAAATAATAAAAAAATTTTGTTAGGCAGATTCGACTCTCGTGAATCTCATAATTTTGCTAATTGCTTTTTATGAGTACTCATACGAACAAAGCTTAGTTGGAAGGTTGCATACGCACTTAAAGTTAACATCTTATTCATCACATTATTGCTGTTTATATATACACTGAACTTATTTCAATTTGATATTTATTGTGTACATTTACTAATCATAGGATGCATTAGATGTTTGTGAATTAATGAGATCTACTGGTTTGGGAAGTGGATTTGTTACTGGTACACCAGCTAATGCAAGTTTAAGTGAAATAAACAATTTGATCAGTATACCTTCAAAACGTATCAATTCATCATCAACTGGTCCAGCAGCTGCCAAACGTTTATTAGCTGCACTTGAGGTATGATAATATTTTAATGACTTCTCTTCTTCCAATGTGTTTGTTTGAAAACCAGCAGATAGTATTGGACATATGTTTTTCCCAGTGTGTGGGACTCTTCATAAGTACGTACCTATGACCCCATTCATCAGGGATCAAAGGCACAATATTCAGGTTACGTGGTGAGCTCGTTGACTATTCAACCACTGAGACGGAATACAGTGGCACATGAATTTTATTCTTATTTATTGTAGATTTCTCTTTGGAAAACCTTTGTTGTGTTTGATCTGTGTTGATAAGCAACCTTTCTAAACCCTTGTTACTAACTGTCTAGTTTTTGAATTCAAGGATTTTATAGTTGAAGTGTCTTAGTAAACCAGCGGTTTAATATTAGGGCATTTCTAGTATTCTTTTTGAATGTACTTATCATTCATAAAGAATATTTATTAACGTGATGAATATTCATATAACTTGGTCGTCGACACCACAGCGGTTAGGAGGCTCGCCGACGATACACATGGTCCGGGGTTCGATCCCGGCCGACACACCTGATATCAATGGTCGGCCTGCTAAATTTGGCCTACCGATATCACATGCTGAAAATCCCATACCTTGTATCAAAAATACTGTATGAAATCAAGCTCTAGTAAGAAATTTTATTAAATTACTTTATGCATGAAATAATTCACTGAGTGTCTAAGCTAGAAAATACATCAACTGCTCCTCTGGAGCCAGTTATATTGGTCGTTGTTCTACGACAATAATTTTCGTTCTCGGGAATGCCTACTGGGGAGGCTAAATAAAGATATGGTGAAAACCGTCAACAGTTCTATATTAGATGACCTTGTCGAAACAGACCACAAAACCGGTGCTCCCCTCCTTAGTGGACCTGGACAACCCGTCCTCCGACAGGTCATCCATATCGGTGCCGTGCTTAGCGTGGACGCCCGATCAACATGAGCAGCCGTATACCAGAACTCTCGGTCCCGCGAAATTCCGCACCCTGGCCTTCAAGTAGCTAGATTACAAGCACACGCCACCACGCCCAGCCCACGAGCAATGTTAGCGGATACAGGGTCAGGCTGGAAAAGAGCTAGTGGAGGTCAAACAAAAACATGGCACCAGTCAATGAAATCTACAACAGTTAGTCTAAGCTATGTAGGAAGGTGTAGACTTCCAGGTTGGGGTCCTCGGGACGGTAAAAATCAGTGGTTGGAAACAATTGGTGACATGGCTCAAAATCGTTGTCAGTGGCGCAGATGCATCCACTCCTTGTGACTTATGACTTCCAATTAAACTATGTTGTTCTTCGTTACTACTATTCCTTTGTCTCTCACTTCTGTTTACTGTCTCTATTATGCCTATCTTGTAATTTCTTCTCTTACTTTGTGTGCTACAAGGAGGGAGTGTGGCGACTTGAACTGCTGCACATATGTGCACAGTTCTATGTCGAAAACAGACAGACCACAAAAGCAGCATTGAATAATCCTCTATCATCTATCGAATGCCAAATAAATTGTCAATGGCCTCTAAGTACTTAATGTGGGAAACAACAGAGACCATTGCAAAATATACAGGTCCGGCCACTATTTCCCCATTGTCCTGCTGTGGAACCTATACATTCTGTATTATTTCTCTTAGTTTTCCTGGCATTCAATTCAGTATTATATTGATGCATATTATCACCTACTGATGCTGTTGAACTGTCATCTGTTAAAAGTACTGTTTCAATGTTACATAAAACATGATTACGGCTAACAACAATCGTTTCTTGATTATTATAGATGCATATAACTGTAGAACTTGATTAATGAGTCTTCCATAAGAGTTAAAGAATAAATATTACTAGCAAAATTAATATTTTTTAAACAACCCGTTTTTTTTCCTTCACGTTCCACAGTGGAAAAAAAGGCTTCAAGCTAGTGGCTTGAAGTTTCTGTAGCAGTGTTTATTTTACTGGATGGGGTTGCTAGCCTCATGCGCAACCTTTCCATTTTACCAGCATTATTTCTTGCTTATCGAGGTAAAGGAGTGTGTTGGTGGCCGGGGATCTAACCCCGGACCATGTGCATGGTCAGCGAGCGTCCTAACCGCCATGCCACTGACTCACGTTAGGTGTTGTTTAAGAGTGCATCGGCTGGATATGAGATATGGACATCCAGCGTGGTTGGTAAGCACACTCATTGCCACTTACTGAACCACCGACCCATTATTGTACGCCTGCTTCAACTTATTTCCAACTCCACCCCCTCCCAAAATAAAACTGACGCCATTGCAATTAAGTTACTAACAAGTAGTGTAATTAATTATCTGAAAACTTCAAGTGTAATTGGTGACCGAAAAATATTCTCCTGGATAAGTAACTTGGAATATACACTTAGAAGGAGACCTTTGATTGACATCACAAGCTAGGTCCTCGAGTGTGAGTCGAATGACGAGTGTGACATGGAGAAAATGAATGCTTATGGACAATTGTAGAGCCAACTAAGAAGGCATTTAGAGAACGCAGTGAAATAGACTTGTGTTATTGAATTCTTGTATTCTCCTTGGGACCCAAGATTATACTGATCATGGATGCATATATCTGTAGAACTTCATGAAAAGGTGATCGAAAAGAAGTTCTTTGTTTACTAATCAGTCTTTTAAATTTTTTTAATAGGCATCTTTACTCACAAGTTATTACATATAACACTGCTAATTTGTCGTCGCTTACAATTTTATTTACCTACAGACTGCTTCACAACGTACAAACAGTCGACTGTTTACAATGCCAGAGATAAATACAATTGCAAATGATATTCGTGTAGCTGCTAACTGTGTAATGACATTATTAGATAGGTTGAATGAATCTGGAGCAATTATTAAACGTGGTGCCAACCTCTACAAACTTGTCTAATGAGTGTGTTTCTTAGTTAAACAGCAGTGTTATTTTACTCTATTTCCTCTTACCTCCCTACAGAACTGATTTTCAAAGACTTCCGCCAACTTTTTAACCGCAAAATCATGTTTTATATTGTTTGTTAGAGTTTTATTTTTTATAATATAAGTTATTTTTTTTAGCTGTGTGGCTTTTATATGACTGAAAGTGTTTTTCGGTTGACCGGGATTTTCCAAATAAAACTTTGTCATGATTGGGAATTGAGCAAAACAGACTGAAAAGAAACCAATTGTTCTCTGTTACTCAGAAATCAATTACCATTCCATGCAGTTGACGATAAACCACACATATTTTAAGTGAGGGCTAGTGGTATTGCCTGTCGGTTATCTAAACCTTGATATGTGAAGCAGAGTTTCAACCCGTGACTCTTCAGCCGAAGATCCGAGCATCCAGACCAATAAACCAAAGTTCTAGCTTTGCTGCTTTGCTTGATATCTACTTCGTAATGGTATCTATCTTGAAATTATTCAGATTCCTCCCATTAATGCAGGAAAAATCTTATTTCAATACATCGGTCACTAGTGATTCAGATTCACTGTGAGAGTTACTTTGAAATGAGTAATGTTTTCAAATCAAATAGTTTTACTCCTCCCTTTTTGCGGCCTGTCTAATTTACGAGGATATATAAATCTCCGTCTGATATAATGCATCTACTTCTCACCGTTTATTGATGTTATTTTAAATCATCCAATTATCTATTTGTTGTTGATGAAAGCAAAAATAAGGATGGGGACGTGGAATGTTCGTACAATTTACGAAACTGGAAAGGCTGTCCAGGTAGCCGCAGAAATGAGAAGATATAGGATAAAAGTGTTGGGAATCTGTGAGAGCAGATAGAACGTATGTGGAAGGTGTCAACTGGAGAGACAATAATCTATTCCGGTCACCCAGAGGACAATCACGAGCACACCGAGGGAGTGGCCATCATGATGTCACCAACAGCAACCAAATCTCTCATGCAGTGGGAACCGATCTCCTCCAGGATAACGGCAGCCAGGTTCAACTCAAAAGAAAGATAGGTCACAATCATTCAATGCTATGCGCCTACAATCGTCTCAGAACAAGAAAAGAAGGAGGCGTTCTACATACAACTACAAACAGTAATGCACAAAGTCCCAAATGGCGATATCCAAATCCTGATGGGCGACATGAATGCGAAGCTGGGAGGAGACAACACAGGAAGAGAACTCACCATGGGTCGTGAGGCCCTCGGTGAAATGAACGACATTGGTGAACCCTTTTGAGCCTTCAATGATTTAGTGATTTGTGGCATTGTGTTCAAACACAAGGATATACACAAGGCGACATGGACTTCACCAGATGGACACACCGAAAACCAGATAGACTTCATTTCAATCTCAAGGAAGTGGAGACGGAGCCTACTGGACACAAGGTCGAGGAGAGAGCAGCTGTGGGCTCAGACCACTACCTAATACAAGGGACTTTCAAGGTGAAGCTAAAAGCCTTGAGGATAGCTGGGGAGACATGGAGGAGATCGTGTGAAGAGGATGTAGGTGAAAAGTACAGCAGAAGCAAGTGGAGACGTGCAGTTGAAGCCCTATGTTCATCTTGGAACCCAAGGGAGCAATAATAATCTATTTGTTATTGAGAGAATTTTCCTTATCTACGTGATCATCTTCAGAGGCTACATAATTGTATTTATATTTACCAAAATGTGTAGTCGTCTGTTATTGAGTAATAGGGGTTGACATAGTCGATATAATTACTCAGAAATGATTTCTAAAATAAAATTAAAAAATCACATTATAGTCAACGGTACAATGGAAGAAATGGTTTGAAATTAGATAAAGTTAAATAAATTTTATTTGATGAGCAGTAAGGTAATTGAATGTCCACTTGACAGTAGTGAAATCTCTGAGAAAATGTACAAAAAGAACATGCAAAAGTGATGATAGTGAGTTAATTACTAAAAGGAAGAGATTATGACTATGGTAGAATAAAAGACTAAACAAATGCCGAAACCTAACACACCTTGTGCCTTTCGGTCTTACTTTGAAGATAGTTCTATACAATAAGACGACTCTGGCAAAGCTACGTAGCCCGAGTTCACCACGTGCTCGAGAATGGGGCTAGTAATTGCCTTACATCGTCTTCCTGCTAACCATGCTGCATAGTATTTGGAGATTTGTCTGAAAGATATGCGCTTTGTGCGGTCAATATAACTAGCTTTACAGGAGCAAGTGAATTTATCACCACAAATATTGAAGTAGCCCAAGCTGCAGATTGTCCTTCATACATCCGCTGAACATATGTCGACTATGGAAGAGATCTGTAGCTCAGCCGAAAATTTCAAACACTTTCTTTCCAGTATCATTGACTACTACTTATTTTTTTTTATTTTATTTTAGAATCCACTTAAGCCTCCTCTCTTTCTATTACCCAATAATAAGCTAATACAGGATTGTGCAGCTTCCGAAGATGATTTCGTCGATAAAGAAAATTTTCTTAGCTGTATTGACTTTTATGTATTTGTGTCATAGCTTGGATTCACTCAAATTTTTAATTGTCTTCCAACCTATCATTGGATACCACAAGAAAAAAGTGATGGAAAGATTCCGTAGAAGTTTGAGTCTTGTTTCAGATGGAACGACGTTGTGTCATATGAAATACTTTCGTTTGAATATGTTACTTTTAGATTCTACATATTGGTAGCATATATTTTTCAAGAAATTTAACTGAAAATTCTGTATGGTTTATACAGAATTCCCAGAATGAAGCTATTATTATTATTATTAAAATACAAACATTTCTTTTAATATGTTGCTCTTCAGAAAACATTAGGATATGTATACAATAGACCGGACAATGAGATATTTAGATAAAGCTATAACAACACATGCAGCAGAGTGAAACTTTGCCGTAGTAACTAGTTTTTTAACCTTAATTGATTGCATCACATTTTGTCAGATGTAAATGTTGAGTTCTTTTCGACTCTTATATGATCACATCGCCATTTATTAGACGCCATGGGTTGATATGCCTGATATCTAACCAAATGAGCTTAACTCACAGTACATTTCTTTATATATCTTTTCAAGAATTACTTTGTGAGGATTGTATCTGTTTCAGGTTAAACCACGGATTGATATCAGTTAGCGAACCTGATAGTACTGAACAGCTGTTTCGTCCTAGTTTGGGACTCTTCGGCAGTACGCGCCCACTAGGTCTCGAACCCAGGACCTTTCGGTTACAAATATACCATTCAGACACTGGAACCCGATTTAATGACTTATTACTGTCCGTTACTCGCTGATTCTCAATGGTTTTCTAGCTGATATCAATCCGTGGTCTAACCTGAAACAAATAAAATCTCTACAAACTAATTCTTAAAAATTACTCTGATAATCGCTAGTGACTGGCTACAGGGCGAACTTGCTTTGTGTTTTAGTGAGAAATCATGACCAGTGGGGTCTATCTAGTCAGGAATGAGGATGAAGTGTCGCCGATGATATTGGTTGGTGATCGCGCTAAAGTCATGAATTAATAGAAGTTAGAATTCATGAATCATTGGATTCGCTCCCAGTGTCTGAATGATATATGAGCTTGCCTTGTAACCGGAAGGTCCTGGGTTCGAAAGCCAGTGGGTGTATATCTCTCTTGTTTTCCAACAATTCCTTAGTGACTCATGTAGTCTTATAATTTTGTGTTTCATTCGAGAAGCTCCGATCTCATTATATATATATATATATATATATATATATATATATATATATATATATATGGCTCTTGTGACCTAAGTGGTCTAAGTTATAAACGAAAGTATTGGGTATCAAATATAGGCCTAATAATACTTCAACTGAAAAATTACACAACTATTCAATCTTCTCACTACGAAATATAAAAAATGACAACATAATTATGCTCATCAAAGTACGTCAGATGTCCAGCGAAAGAACGCTGTCTGACCACGCACGTGTTCCGGGGTTCGATCCTCAGCTGGCACACTACTGAACCTCCTCTAGCTGATAGTATGCCTTGTGGAGAGGGAAGGTTGGGTGTGAGGCTAGTAGACTAGTCCCGTAAAAAACACCTCTGTGATTGAAACTACTTGGAGCGCAAATGAATAGAATTTAAAATATGCACTAAAGACGTACTTTAGGAACTAGTGAGCACTACACAATTTAATCCGAAATTGCTATTCATTTCTGACTAGTTATAAGATACATACCCTGAAGTAACGAGAACAAGTCATAATCATTTTCAGTTCACCGATCGTGGAGTCTAGACAGACAGTTTTTATTGAAATTATATTTTAGTCGTGTTATAACTTGAATTGACAGAAGTCGGAAATGATTGGTGATTGAATTCCCGTTCATTAATTGTGTGTAACGTGATCACCTCATGATCTGGCTATCTTGAATCTGACTGCCTACAAGTTCATTTTTAAGGACTATTGAAATGTTCGAATGCCGTTTCAATGGGTAACCAGCTTACATCAAGTGACCATAAAATATACTACAATATCATTTGAGTTATCACAAATTCAGTAAGCTAATTACGAATGATAAGCCTTATGTGTAATAGCTGGTCTGCATAGTTAACAAATCAATTGCATTTAAAAAGTATGGTGTCTCAATTCTAACTCATCACTTTCATTATATGAGTCGTTGTGTGTTTTTTCATTATTGGAGGTTCAATCAGTGAACGGCTTTTCTGTCCTTAATCTCAATACTATCCCTAAAGTCAAGAAGTTACCAGAAGTAACCGAAGAATTTTCTAACATCCATAAAGTCAATTTTATAGATACACCTTATTTGCCGGGTGGGATCAAATGACTAACTACACCAGTGTTTCGTGTTTGGATCTCAGAGATACAACATAAATCCAAAACACAGATGTAAAACAACCACCTCTGCTTGAGGAACAATTTTAGCTGGAATAGGATTAAGTTGGAACAGAATTAGTTTCTGTCAGAACAAATTATGACAATAGTGTAT